TACTGATAAGAACAGGCAATAATAATGAAAACTAAAAAAAAAAAAAAAAAAAAAAAACCCAGGTATTTGACTTATGTCAGAACCAATTTACAATGGAGTCATTGGAAGGGAACCCCATCATTAAGTCAGGGACTACACATATGGAAATAAAGATGATATAGTCTAGATAACTGTGTTAGATCACTCAAAAAGTAGTTTTAGTGATGACGAAGACACTTTAGTCAAAAATTTTGCTCAAGAGTTTTAACAGCATTGCTTAAAAAAATATGAGAGAAGAAAAGAGCAATCCGGTATTTCTAAATCTTTATAAAAAATATTTACTAAGCCCCTATCATATTCCTGACACTGGGATTACAGCTGTAAACAAGACAAAAACACATGCCTGCATGGAGCTTATAAACTGATATATTATCTTATTTAATATATAATTTTTAAAAAGTACCCATATCCAAATTAATAAGTAAAACTTTAGTTGAAATTTGACTAATTAATCTGTAATTGTTTATATATTGAATTGGCTAAAAAACTTTCTTGGAATCATTTCAGTGAGAAAACTAAGATTGTATTACATTTGGACATACACAGTATTATGATTTGAATATTAAGGGAACTGCAAATTTACATTTGAGCTGTATGATTTTAAAAATCCACACTTCCACTATTATTAGAACCAAGTACCTAGGATAAAATATTATTCTTTCGACAGTTTCTATCTACATATAAACTCTATTTGGTCTTGTTTTCAAACATACTGGAGCTTGTGACTTGGTTACATGTCTTTTTTGTAAGTTATTACAGATAGTGTTCTCCCATCCATGAACACTCTGTATTAACACAGGCAAAACGTTCTAACCTAAACTGGCACTATCCCTCCCCTAACTTCATTTTCTTCTCACCAACTCCTGGATCAGCTCACAAATCAGCACCAGCATCCCTTTCTTCATGAACCTGAGTTTTCTAGAAAACCAATCTTCCTTAAAAAAGGTGAATGTTTTCATGTCCTACCACAACAGAAAAGCATGTTCTGTTCCCACCTTTTCATTATGTGCTTCATCTCACTGTGACTCCTTGACACTCCTACTTAGCTCCAGGGACCACAAAACAAAAAGAAAAAAACCAAACTAATGTTTGGAAATATTATCATTTCTGTAGATAAAAAGAAATATTTGGCAGAATGTTTCAAAACTATGCAGGCTATAAGGACAGAGAAATGGGTAAGGGAAATACTAAGTTTTACTTCTATACTTCTCCCTCCTTTTGACTATTCAAATTGTGACCTTTACGTCCAATTTTTTAATAAAATAAATCAAATATATTTTCTTCCATTCTTGATAAGGGCTGTTTCATTATAAGTACTTAGAATTCACTTCTATTGATCTAGAATACACTCTTAGAGAATGTATAAAAAATCGACACTCAGTCTTATATTTATAAATATTCAACTTATTTAAACATGTCATTTTAATAAGACCACCATGCCCTATTCAAAGTAGTTCTAGTGCAGCCCTCAGAGGATACTGCACAATCTCAGCAGTAAAGCAGATAGACAGGAGGACAGATTAGCAATTAGGTCATGAAAAACAGGCAGCATGAAATAGCTGTTGCTAATCTGCATGAGATGCATTTACTCAATTAAGTAGATGGAAATGTTATTATGAACTCAGTATTCCAATGATGGTCTTTAAAATTAAGAAGGATAAGGGTACATAAAATGCACACTGGGGGATTTTGGGTCTTTATATATTAATTCTAAAGTACACAATGCAGCACACTGTAATGAAGTTAACAAAATTAATTAAAAGATTCTTTGCATGTAACCGTTAGAGACTACATTAAAAAATACATGACAGTTTCTGACATTATTAACAGGGAATGTGACTATTCTTTAACACTTTTAATGTTGATACCAGTACCTTTTCTAAATATACTGCTGATCTTAAAAACAAAAGCAACAGAAGTCTTATTACTCAGATCCTCCTCCTATAAGTTGTTTTTAAAATATGTTCTGGTACTTATTTATTCCATTCTTGGTTTCAACAACTGATAAGCCAGTGATCAATTTTCAAACTTTTTAGAAAACTATTATACATTTTTACTGAAGAGCAGAAAGAGTTTTCAGATACTTACATGTTTTAACATTTGTGTTTCTTTACATAATGTTTTATTAGACAAAATAAGACAATTACAAAATCTGTATGTGAACTGTTATCAAGCTCTTAGGCAGAACAAAAAAATCTTTGAACAATTTTGGAAAAATGGTCACAAACTGCAGAAGTTTTTTGCGTTGTGATAAACACGTCGTGTTTAGCCCCTATTTTCAAAGGGGACTCATGCATACATACATAATCCATTACTATTAGAGAATTCTAATACATATGCCCAATTATAATAACAATTAAGTGATTTTATTACAAAAAATACACAAAAATGATAAGCTGTGTCTATAAGAGCAACTAAACACAGTAGATTCATTTTTGCCTATAGATGTAAATTTTGAGTTTGTTTTTTTTCCTCTTCTTGTAAATGCAATTTTTTTCTCTCCTTTTGACTAGTTTTAAAATGTTTAGAAAATTTTATGTAAAACTTTTACTTAAAAATAACAATTATATAAAAACTGTATTTTAGAGTTTCATTCAGTCATTAATTCATCCAATATAATTAAAGCCATTTCAACAATTGCTATCACATCAGCTTCTTTTTTAATCTTAGGTTTAATATAAAAATAATGATCATTCTCCCACTCCTACCCCCAAGACACACGTAAGTCAACCTTAATATGTAACCGTCTATCATCCTATACTTTTCTCTCTTAACAACAGATGCTTCAAACATCTATATAGTTGATCTGAATATTATTTATGTTTGTGATTGTTGAATCTTCTTGAATTAAATTATGTGTTCCTTGAGACAGTGTTCTATTCAGGATAGGTGTTCGGCTGACACTCATTAATTCACGCTCATGGCATTACATTCATTCATATATCCATCCATTCATCAACTTACTGAACATTTTTTATGTGACAGGATATTATGTTCAATGCTACACGCACAAAGATGAAAAACTGTCCCAGTTCTCAAGCTTCCCAGACAGCTCAGGGACTGTGATAGGTAGAAAAGTGGCCCTTAAAGATGACCAAGTCCGAATCCCGAAACCTTTGAATATGTTACCTAACATGGCAAAAGGAACTTTGCATATGTGATTAAGGTTACGGATCTTGAGATGGAGAGATAATTCTGAATAACCCAAGCAGGCTCAGTGTAATCACAAACCAAAAAAGCCAAACCCACTGCCATTGAGTCAATTCCAATGAGCGCTTAAAAGCAGAAAACATTTCCCAGCTGTGGTCAGAAGGACATGTGATTACAGAAAAACAGTGGGAGAGATGGAATGCTACTGGCTTTGACTAGGGGGAGGGAGCCATGATCCAAAGAACGTGGGTAGCCCCTAGAAAGTGGAAAAGACAAGGAAATGGATTCTCCCCTAGAGTTTCCAGAAAGGAATACAGCCCTCCTTGAGAAATCTTAATTAATTTTAGCCCAGTGAGAACCATGTCAGACTCCTGACGTATACAACTTTAAGATAAATTTATATTGAAGCCACCTAGCTTGTGATAATTTGTTACAGCAGCAACAGAAACCAAATACTGGTATCAATTAGTCCAACATATCCTTTGAAAGATAAGGAAAACTAAAATCCTCAAAGTCACACATTTATGTAGTGGCAGTGTACTCATTGGGTTTAGAGAGAACATAATTCTTCCTTCTCCTCAAACATAGTTTGGCATCAGGGTAAAAAAAGAAAGCTAGGTCTTTCAGTATCTGAAGAGAAATAGCTATAACTATTTTTCTATGTACTGAAAGTGTGAAGCACCATAATTATATTAAAATCATATATGATTCATTCCAATTTGATTTGGTTAAACCACTTCTATGGGATGCAGGAATAGCTTTTACTGCACACCCTCAAAAGCATACAAGTTATCGTGTAAAATTATGCATGGCTGTGTAGGTGTTTACAGGCATGAAGTAACTCAGTATTAATTATCTTTGTATTGCCTCCTGTGCGCAGATTGATATCATGCATACCACATACTTTTCTAGGAATCCAGTGAAGGGGAATGAAGTCTGAACCAGAAATAATAATATTGGAATTTTTTTAAAAAACAGAGATTTCACCTCCATGAAATCAGTCACCAAGTATTTACTGAGCACCTCCTTTATGCCAGAGACTATTTAAGGTACTTGGATAGATACAGAAATGTTCAAAACAAACAAAGTTTCCACCTTTACGGCACATACATTCTATTGGAGGAATCAGATGGTAAACAAAATAAATATCAATTAATATTAACCAGTGGTAAGTACTCTGAATAAAAGGAAAGCAAGCTAAAGAGAAAAACTATATATGGGCGGGAAACGTGTAGATATGGAAAATCAGACAAATGGACCAAGATTGGGAAAATGCCTATTTCAATAGTATGTTCGACTTTTTCTATAATCAGTAAGAACTGTCTTATAGTGTTCAATGAAAGACCTCACTGCAACATACTGATAATTTATTCAAAGTTTTTCATATTATATAACAATATTGCAAATGAAAAACGACATTCAAAACAAAAATCATTGATATCTTCAGATTTTTCATTTACCACTATTATAATACATAGCAAGTTGGGTGATCAATTTGTTAGCCCTGGCAGTAAATATCAATTATAGTTATAGTTCTGCAGTAGTTTAGGACTTAGCAGATTTTGGATGCCTATTAGACTTAAGGACCTATATGAACCATGTTGATTGTATTTCTCTTTTGGATCTCAGACTGTGAGTGGTTCAGTAATTAATAATAAAGTATTTTCCACTTAAAATAAATTGAGCAAAAATGACTATTTAGGGAATGGTATAGAAAATTTAACTACTGCTAAATTTAAGGGAAAATCCTGATTTAAACAATTAGTTTTATATAATACTGTTTACACATTAAGACAATGTTTAAAACTCACTTTGAAGTGTTTCAAGTTCAGCTCTAGTCAGTGCATCTTCCTTTTCCTTCAATTTTGTTTCTTTATACTTAGCATAAAACTGCCCAGCATCCTTAAAAAAGAAGTTACAAATAACACAAAATCACCAGTTTGCTTTCACAGTATTTTCCATATAACTTCATTTACACCAGCATATTCATTCTGCAAGTACTCTTTCTTTGTGTTTACTCATTCTATTTCTTTGATGAACGGAATAAATTAAACACCTCTTTGTAATTTTTCAATCAATCTCAGGGAGTTGATTAAGGCCTGAAATAACATGAGCATAAATTTCAGTAAACTAATTTCTCTCAGATATGAAAGAGAGGTATCCTCTTCCAGGTGTCTTCCTCTGTATGATTTTTTTTCAGTATCATAAGTGCTACTACGTGGCCAAAATACAGAAAATCCAAAATACAGTATAAACCAAAAACCAAACCCACTGCTCTCGAGTCGATTCCAACTCATAGCAACCCTATAGGACAGAGTACAACAACTGCTTTATAGAGTTTCCAAGGCTGTAATCTTTATGGAAGCAGACTGCCACATCTTTCTCCCACAGAGTGGCTAGTGGGTTCAAACTGCTGACTTTTTGGTTTGCAGACAAGCACTTTAAACACTGCACTACCACGGCTCCTTGAATTATTTGGTATAGTAAATTATATTATTGTGACAAAAAACTACTAACACTATTTTCATATTAGTCACACAACTCCAAAAAATTTTCAAAATTAGTATATGCAAATAATAGTACCTTCAGTGGCACATATATTAAAGAAAGTTAGAGCATAAAGTATCAGCAACTTTAAATAACAAAAGTTCAAGCTAGATATAATTCTCAGGCACTTAACAAAGAAATATACTGTTACAGAAAACAACTTTCAGTCAAAAAGAAGATGTATCTACCCGGCATGAATAGAATACAAACCATAACTAACAATGTAGAAACACCAGAAGATAAACTAGAAAACTGGGAGCTCCTAAAAATTAAACACTTAATGCTGATCAAAAGACTTCACCAAAAGAGTACAAAGAGAACCTACAGATGCAGAAAAAGATTTTTTTTGGCTACAAAACATTTGACAAGGGTCTAATCTCTACAATCTATAGAATACTTCAATAGCTCAATAACAGAAGACTAATCCAATTAAAAAATGGGCAAAAGATATGAACAGGCACTTCACCAAAGACGACATTCAGGCAGCTAACAGATACATGAGGAAATGCTCACAGTCATTAGCCATTATAGAAACAAAAATCGAAACTACAATGAGATAGCATCTCACCCCAAAGTTACTGGCACTAATCAAAAACAGAGAAAATAACAAATGTCGGAGAAGCTGCAGGGAGATTGGAACTCTTACGCACTGCTAGTGGGAATGTAAAATGGTAAAACCACTATGGAAAATGATATGGTGCCTCCTTGAAAAGCTAGAAATAGAAATACCAAGAGGCAGGACCAAGATAGCAGAGTAGTCAGACCCTTCCGATAGACCCTCTTATAACAAAGACCCAAGAAAACAAGGGATTCGATTATATATGGCAATCTGGGAGCCGTGAACATCTAAGGCAGATTTGAAGAAACGGACTGAGTGGAAGGGGGAGGGAGAGACACTTTGGAAGCAGCAAAGGGTTGCCAGACTGGACCCAGCGAGAGCCTGAGCCCTTCAGGCCTGAGCAGCTCTTGGGTGAGCAGTGAGGCAGGCAAGTGGCGGTGCTCAGGAGACACGTTTTCTGCACCGGGAGAGACCCAGTATCAGATAGTCTACACCGCTACACAGAACCAGTGAGAGGCAGCGATCATCAGCAAAAGATAAGTACTTGCATATGCCTTACCGCATGGATAAAAACACCCCTCTTAGGGAAAAACCTCTCTCCATTTACCTCCCCGCTTCCTGATCTGCACTGGGTCCTGGACCGGCTTCAGCAATTGCCGAGTCCCCTGGGCCGGAAGTAGGATCCGTCACATGTTCGGAGCCATTCTCTCTGCCTTGGAGAATGAACAAATTAACAAACGGGAAAAGATAAACTGCCAGCTCCACTAAGCCAGGAATCCAGGGTAGGCACAGCTCCTTTGATTAGGCACAGGCATAAGGGATCCACAGACTTTAAGTGCCCTTCCCCCTGCATAGACTTGTGTGGGCCCATCTCAACACTGTAGGCCCTCATTACTGTAGTACAACAGTGTATATACTGGAATTTTAACCTCAACTGTTTCAGCTGTGAAGTGGCAGGTTCTTTACGTTTGACACTGCACTACCCATTAAGCAGGTCTTCACCTACCTATATCAGGGGCCTGAGGACTGGTGGCTCCACCCACGCCACTTAGCCACCTGCGAGAGCAGTCCATGAATAAGAGGTGCCCCCTAGTCCTTACAGCCAACAGCATTAGGTGCTCATAGTCCAGCTGCAAAACCCACTCACCTATGTGCTCTAGGGAAGAGGGACATGCCTTCCTCCTGGACACTCAGGGGTAGCCATCAGCCCCCTGCCTTCCTCAGATGTGTCCCTCGCTACAGCCAGATTGCCTACACCAATCACCCATGCCTGTCTAGGAATGTAAGTGACAGCCTACACCACACACTTGGTGGCTATCTACCTGGGCACCTGAGCTGAATCCATACAGGAGGAGTGGGCAGACTCTTGAGCTCACATAACTAGTAACACATCTAACCACCTGGTTACAGGACATTAAAGCTTCAAAGCTGCCAATAATCAAACTAGCTCATATGAGCAGCCTATTTCGCCGTTATCAAAACAAAACAAGAAGCTAGGACACAGTAAGCAAACATTAACTAAATAAATACAATAACTTATGGATGACTTGGAGAAAACAGTCAATATCAAATCACATAAAAAGGCAATCCATAATGGCTGCAGCAAGCTCCCAAAATAAAGAATCTAGAAATTTTCCAGAGGAGGAAAATTTCTTGGAATTACCAGAAGCAGAATACAAAAGATTAATATACAGAACTATTCAAGAAATTAAAAGGAAATTAAGCAAAACACAGAACATGCAATAGAGGAAATTAAAAAGATTAGAGAAGAGAAAAAGACAAATTTAACAGGCTGCAAGAATCCATAGAGAGATAGCAATCAGAAATCCAGAAGATTAACAATAAAATTTCAGAATTAGACAACAGAATAGAAAGTCATAGGAGCAGAATTGAGGTAATGGAAGCCAGAATTAAAAACAAAGCAGTTACACCAACTTATTTGCGGAAAAATCAGATAAAAGGGTTAAAAAAAATGAAGAAACCCTAAGAATTATGTGGAACTCAATCAAGAGGAATAACCTATGAGTGACTGGAGTACCAGAACGGGGGCGGGGTGGAGGTGGGGGAGGAGGATAACAGAAAATACAGAGAGAATTGTTGAAGATTTGTTGGCAGAAAACTTCCTTGATATCGTGAAAGGTGACAAGATATCTATCCAAGATGCTCATCGAACCTAACATAAGGAAGATCCCAAAAGAAAGTCACCAAGACATATTATAATCAAACTTACCAAAACCAAAGATAAAGAGAGAATTTTAAGAGTGGCTAGGGATAAACAAAAAGTCATCTACAAACAAGAGTCAATAAGAGTAAGCTCAGACTACTACTTAGCAGAAACCATGCGGGCAAGAAGGCAATGGGATGACATATGTAAAGCCTTGAAGGAAAAAAACTGCCAGCCAATTATAATGTATCCAGCAAAACTCTCTCAAATTTGATAGTGAAATTAGGGCATTTCCAGATAAACAGAAGTTTAGGCAATTTGCAAAAACCAAACCAAAATTCCAAGAAATACTAAAGGGAGTCCTATGGTTAGAAAATCAGTAACATCAGATAAGAAACCGAGACTAGAAAACAGGACAGAGCAACCAGATATCAACCTAGACAGGGAAGTCGCAAAAGGAAATCAAAGCTAGAACACTGAAAATAAGGAAACAAATATCACTATGTAACAGATGACAACATTAAAACAAAAAAGAAGGACTTAAAAAATGTATACATAGATTTCTCATATGGAGAAGAAGTCAAGGTGATATAAAGCAATAAAAACAATAGGGGTCAATATTAAGGTAACCACAAAGGAAACTAACAATCCTACAAGTCAAAATAAAAAACTACAAAAATATAAAGACAAAGCAAACACAAAATCAACAACAATGAAAAAGATGAAAAGAAAACACGTAAAGAAAAATGACTCAGCACAGAAAATTAAGTGGAACAAAGAAACTGTGAACAACACACAAAAAAATACACCTAAACGACGGCACTAAACTCATACCTATCAATAACTACGTTGAATGTAAACGGACTAAATACACCAATAAAGAGACAGAGAGTGGCGGATTGGATAAAAAAACATGATCCGTCTACATGCTGCCTACAAGAGACACACCTTAGACTTAAAGACACAAACAAACTAAAACTCAAAGGATGGAAAAAGATATATCAACCAAACAGCACTCAAAAAAGAGCAGGAGTGGCAATATTAATCTCTGACAAAATAGACTTTAAAGTGAAATCCACCACAATGGATA